TCCGCAGCTGGCGGGGACGGGGGCGTCCATCGCCGGGGTCGGGATAAATGTGGGAGCAGCTGCACCCCCCGTCCCTCCCTGCCTGGGCACACGGGTGTCCGTGGGCACGGAGCTCCCCGGGGCGGTGTGCAAGCACTTGGCCTCGGGTTTGCTCCGTCGTTTCCCCGCTCCTTCTAGGAGGGAGAGGGATGCAGGATTCCTCCCGCCCGGCCGCATTATTTATCTGTTACCTTGCGAGCGGGCAGAGCTTGCCGAGAGAGCTCTCGCCGCCTCAGCTCCCGGGTTGCCTGTCCCAGAGGACGCCAATTAAAGGCACTAATTGGACAGCGATACATCAAAGTCTGTCGCTGAGACCGGCTCCTTGGAGCTCTGGGGGTCCTGTAGGCAGGCTTTTGTTTTAGGCACTGCTCCAGCTCCCCGCGTCGGGCTGCGCTCCCCTGGCCCGCTCTGCCGCTCGAAACCCTCGCGTTCCCCAGCCCAGCAGTGCCCGTGGGTCAGTGCGCCCCACGCTGCCCTTTCCGGTGAGGAAAAGCTGCATTAGTGCCCCCGGTTCACCGGGAGCACGGCTCACCTCGTGTCGACCCACCTGTGCTGACCCTCCACACTCCCACCCATGAGCCCCGTCCCTCCCTGCGGTCAGACTGCGGTGGCTCTTCGTGAGCCCCTCGTCCCCAGCAGTGACTCAGGGCCGGAGGATCCGCGCTGCCCAGCGGAACTCGGAGCTCCCACCCTCAGGGTCCCTCGGACAGAGGACGTGGGGCCGGGGTCCTACCCCTACCATACCCCAGGTTTTCCCTTCGCGCGGTATTCCCGGTGCCCCGAGGTAAGGCCCTTTGGGACAGCCGGTGTTTCTCCGCGCCCGGGATCACCCCTCGAGTCTGGGCAGGAGACTGCAAGAGCCCCAGACAGGGCTTCAGTGCCAGGGGGGCTCCAGGTAAATGGGAGGTGTTTGGAGAAAGGATGAGAAACTGGAGGAGACAGTTATACTCCGGGATCCTGACAACAAATGTCTGGTCTCTTCGTTGCTTTCCAACTCTTTTTCGAGAAATTAAGCAATTCTCCATATTATGAAAGTGCTTTATTTCAACTTTATTTACCCTGAGTTATTCGGGACCTCGGGTTTTCCCAGGTGAGGCTGCTCCGAGTCCGGAGGAAAGAGCCGGCGCTCCCAGGAGCGGTGCAGCGATGCTTTGCCGGCTCCATCCCGAGCAGGGCGAGCACCGCGCCAGAGGGAGCCCGGCTGTGCGCAGGGCTGGGCCGGGCATTCGCAGGGCTCGGCCTGAAACAGGGCTGCTGGCACACACATATATTTATATATCTCCATAGGAGCCGGTCAGAGGCAGAAAATTACAGGTCTCCCCGCAGGAGATCTTGGCATCCCCGGGCTGAGCAGCGGCGCGGTTTGCTTATTCTTGTGTGATTAAAAGCTGCTTTTTAACGTGTCCTTTCTGCGGCCATCGCCCTCGGGAGCAAAGCACGGCTCTGCAGGGACTAGACTGGGTGGCCCACGAAGGAGCGCGGGTGGTTGTGCTGAAGGGCATAGGAGCCGATACGGCAGGGTTGGAGTATGGTGATGGTCCCCTTTATCCCCACCTGCAGCTCCCTTCCTCTGCTCAGACCGGGGAGGATGTGTCGGGAGAGCGAGGAAGTGTTTGATGGTTTACTGCCCACGGAGGCATTTGTTTTTCATTTTGCAAACTCTTCTCTTTAAGTAATTGTTCCTGTTAAGAGTGTATACCTTTCACTGGGCTTCACCGCGCTATAAATAATCTCGATGAAGATGCAAGGATATGACTTTCACAAGATTGGACAATTGATTAAATCTGTGACCTGCAATTGCGAATAATCTTGGAAGGCTATTTAAACAGATGAAGGCCTAAATTGTCTTGCTTGTATCTGAATTAATTTCTCATTCATCATCATTATGGAGTGATTGGTTCTATTCAGGCTTTGCAGCCTGCTGGAACGAAACTGGATTTAAATGAGACTAACACAATTTAAATGCTCCCCAGATTTAACGAGGCCAATCGAGCAGCTGCAATAAACACAAATATTTTTCTAAACAGCCTTGTTTTAAATAATTACTTAATACTTTCATGTGATGTTCTTAAGTGGCAATTTCTGTCTCTGAAGTCCCAGGCACTTCTTTGCAGAGAGGGCAGCAGGGAAAATCACTTTATATGTTTGCTCTGCATGTATATGTGCATGAAATATACCGATTGAGATTCTTTAAAGTGAGGTTTGTAAATATTAGTGTAAACCTGCGCTACATTCTTGGTCGTAGATACACTCCGTGGAGGTGATTTTAAAAAAAAATTTAAAAGTGGGGTGGGAACAAACGGTGAATTGGAGGCCAGAGGTTGTGATCTATTTGTTTTCTTGGTAGGAGATTCTGAACTAGCTATTTCTTCTTCCTCCTACCTGAGAGAGAGAGAAGAAAAACTTCCTAAACCAGGGACCAGTTCCGGCAGGAATCTACCCTAATCTATTGTAACCGCATCCCTGCCGCAGTACCGGCTCTCCAGGGTCAGGACGGGACGCTCCCGCCTCACAGAAGGAGAAGCGAGAAGATCTGAATGAAGCAGGCAACATGTAAGGGGCTCCGGGTAGAAGGGTGAAGCAAAAAGCGCGTGGGGCTGGTTTCTCTCCCCCTTTTCATCCACCCAGGAACCTGATGCGCCTAAATGAAGCCATTTGTGTTAAAGAGACTTAAGCTCATCCTGACGTGGGCTTTACCCCAGGGTGACACCTTTGTAAGAGGCAGGACAGCGAGCCTTGGGGTGACATATGGTGGAGGGTGTTTTCAAGGGCTAAACTCGGTAGTCAAATAAAGTAGCCAGGCGAGCAGGAGAATAATAGAAAACAAAAGGATCTTTCAGATAGACAAGCCAAAAAGCTAAAGGAGACACATGCTTTTCTGCAGGTGCTGGCAAATGACCGAACAACCCAGCAGAAAACGTGAAATATGGAGAGACGATTTGCCAATGATTTAGGCGCTGAAGTAAAGCATAGTGCTGGGAAAGCAGATCCGATCCAGTTTAATCATACAACCTTAATAAAAACATATAGTCTGAGACGGGAACGTAAGCGTCAGTCTCGTTGCTATTTCACTTAATGGTACAGGAGGTGACAGATAAAACACAACAAAGATGGGTTGAGTGATTTGATAGTAAAGGACCAATTTAATGCGCGAGTTACAGCGCTGCTCCCCGGGATCGTTTAGGCTTAACCCGTTCTCTAGAGCTCATCTTCTTCCTCTTCTGGTCCTTTTTTTATTAGTAGTATTATTATTCAGTTGTTTAAAATGAGCATTATCCCAAACATATGCAGTGCAATCAGCTCGGTCACACTTACAAGAACACGCTTTAATAAGGCAATCAATCAAACGCTAACAAGGCGCGGGGGGGTGGGAGGCACCGCCTTTAGGAGCTGAATTTGGCTGGCCAGGGACCGGACCCGATGTAGCACATGGGGTACCCCCAAGAAAACTCCGCTCCCGCTGGTGACAAGGGGCCGGGTGCCCGTCGCCGCCTCCCCCGGGGCCTCACCCCGGTTCCTCCAAGGGTCTCATCCCCGACCAGGGCGAGGCCATGGAGTCCTGCCTGCCTGGCGGCAGTGGCTCGGGGCCAAAGGCAGAGCTGCTGCCGGAGGGTGCCCCGTGTGCGCCCTCGCCGCCGCCAGAGCCCCACGCGTGCCCGGAGCCAGCGCCCCACGTGGGGCCGCGGACACCACCACCGGCGGCGAAGGTGTTAACGGCGTCGGCCCCACGCAGCAAATGGAAAATTTCATTATGAAGTAATGAGTAATTCCTCCCACTGAGATGTATTGTTATATCTTCCACTTCAATTTAGGAGCACAGCGGCTCAATTACCTAGAAAATACAGTCAATTAAAGGCTGCTGATTGGACACGAGGACGGATCATCGATCTTGTACTTTCCAATATCGCTCCAGACACCTCATTTTCCCTCCCCTATTAACTGAAAATACTCTTGGCATTACCGCGACCCGCAGCCTATTTACCTGTCGCAGGCAATCTCTGCCCTGTGACCGAGCCGCGGAGAAATCCACAGCCACCCTTTGCCGCAGCATCCTCCGGGAGCGGGCGGCCGGGAGGGCGCCTCTGGAGCCAGGGGACACGGGCACCGCCGGCTCCCTGCCTCCTGCTCGCTCCCCGTTTGCTCAGGGGGATGTCCCAGTCACGGGTGGAAGTGGTTATCAGAGGCTTAAATGCTCTGTTTCTCTCACACGCTCCTAGATATATAAAATATGCGTATTTGTGCGCCAGCCGATGGCATTTTCTGAGCTGGTCACTCTGCAGGAGCAAAGTGCTGCCGCGATCGCAGCAGCAGACTCGGCCAGACCTTGGCCTGCGCTCCCGCCCAGCAGGTGCCTGTGCCTGGCCCAGGAATGAGGGGTCGTGGGCTGTTGAGAAACCCTATTTTTGGTGGATAGCGCTCATCTGCCGTTCTACCCCTCCCCGACCTCTGCAGCGCTCCCTGCTCCCGGGGTTGCCGGGGGAATGGTACCAAGCGCTGGCCCCGCAGCTCCTATTTTATCGGACTGGTTCTTCTGTCTGCTAAAAAACAAAGTAAAAGAGGGGGAAAGGCTTGCAAAGCTCGAATGTTGTTCGGCTCTCCCCTTGGAAGCTGTTTACAATTGTTATTTCCGGGGGGGGACGGAGTGTGAGTGTCCAAAAAGGGCCATTGCTTTCATGTCCATGAAGAAATCTCGTTTATAAAGAGTGGTATAATCTGGCTTTAATGATTTAAAGATCGTGACTTTGGATGGGGTTTTTAAAAGCTGTAATAAACAATATTTTTTATTGGAAAAAATATGTCCTGGCACGCCCGTGTCTCTTCCCTGCTCTCCATCCGCTATAGGGAAACGCAGCTATGCACTCCCTCTCCTAGAGACAAAAAGTCTCCGGTGTGGCAGTAAACCAGAGGCTTCTGAGCAATTTAGTACAAAGTAGATACAGAGGTGTCAACAAGTCTTTGTTCTGTCCAGCATTTATTTTCATGCTTGTTGAACTGTAACTATTAGAAACTGCACGGTGAAATTCGTCTTAAGCAACATTTTAACCTTTTTTTTTTAAACAAGCACGACAGCAATATGGGTGAGAGGTTGTTAAAACGTGTCGTTGTTATCGATTTAGTGTTGTTATTTTTGTTGCTATTAAGTTTTATTCCGACATGGTAACAAATTATGGCAGTGTATTTTTGGGCTATTTTAAAACAGAATGAAATAAATAATGTCGGTTTTGGAAGAAACCACTATCCAGCTCCGTGCCCGTGTTTGTGGTTTTTTTCTAATTTAGGGTTACAGAAATCCAAGCAAAAGCAATTATGCTACCTTCTTCCGAAATACTTTCTGGATAGGAAACGGGTGGGCGACTTTGCGAAAGAAATACTCTTTAAGAAGGAAGAGTGACCAGTGTGGAGGACACATACAAATGCAAAGATCGGGGATGGAGAAAGAAACCCGACAAATGAAATTATTACTGAAAAAATAAAATTTAAAAATAATAAAGAGAAGACACAGCAAGGAGAAGGCAGTGAGAGAACTGAAGGCTGAAGTACAAAGGAAGGGAAATCGCCTTTGCTCCAATTTACAGACTGGTGATTGTCTGAAGGAGTTGTGCTCCCTGTCACCTCTAATCTCTTCCCTTGGCGGCTTGTTAGCGTTTGGCACGGGGTCTTTGCTCGCGGAGCATTGTACATTCGATATTCAAAAACCCGCTTTACATATACATCACTTGCTAATTTCGTCAGTGTGTGCACATTTCAGCGACTGATAATAGGACATTGTTATTTAAAGGACAAATAATAGCTCTGACCCATAAAGAGGCAGGAGCTCGTATTTTTCCCCTGCCAGTTCCAGTCTGCCTCTTAAAAATAAAATTTGGAATGAAAGAGGAATTGAAACGCTGGATTTCTGCTCATAACGAAGGACGAGACAAGGGAGGGTAAAGAATGCAATTAAACCACGAAAGTAATGTACAGAATGACAGGTTTTCTTTATGGTAAAGCATTGTTATTTTCCATAGAGACAACAGGATAATACTGCCGAGTTGCAAACCGGAAACCTTTTGGGGTTTGTTTTTGTTATTTGCCTGTTGTTTTTATTTTCTGAACACTGAGGGATTACATCTTTGCTTTCTTCATGCGCACAAGCCGTTTCGTTATCAAGATAGTGTTTCTTTCAAGTATTTCAGATTTTCCTTCTCCGCCTCATAGATTTGTGCATAAGGTTTGTTGTGATCCGCAGAACCCCCAGCCCTTGGGAAGAAGTCTATCCATGGAAAAGAAAGTCCCAGCACATTTCTGTATGTGGCTGGCTGGACCATATTTCATTCGAGTTGATTTTCTTCCTCCTTCGTGCCTAAATTCCCTCTCAGAGATAAATCATTAGTAATACTTTCTTTCTTCTTTCTTTTATTTTTATTTTTCCCCCCTTGGAATGTAAATCCTTTTAAGACTGAGCTATTTTTAGTCTCTTTTCTTCTTTTTTTTTTTTTCCTTTTTTTTCGGGTTTTTCTGTGGGTGTCCGCGGCTGAGGAGAGAACACGATTAAATAAACATGGGCTGTAGGTACATTAACTCGAAGAGAAGTCCGGGAAAGGGATGAGTGTTTCATAACCCTGAGACAAAGGTTTATCTCGTTAAAGGTACTTCTTCCCTCTGGTCCATGGAAACTGAGGTGGCTTTGCTCAGCACAGAGGGCGTGAAAGTGAGAAAGGAGTCAGTCCTGGTTGTGGCCGAGCAGGTAAAGTCTGATCCGGAGGGTCTCTGCGCCAGCCCGTTGGACTGGCCGCTGTGGCATGCCAGGCAGGAGCAGGGGCTGCCCCCTGCGCTGCTGAGTCCATGAGTCGGGGCAGGGTAGAGAGAGGGATGTCTGAAGGCGCACAGCAGTTCAGGTCTCGGGTACGGGTGGGACAGGACCCTGAAGGTGTCCAGAGGCCTCAGGGGGGTACTGAAAGGGGTGGCGGCAGAGGCCGATGTGGCGCCGATGCCCATGTGGGAGTAGTAGGGCAGGGGCAGGTGGGACGGGAATGGGTACGGCAGGTTCCCGGTGGCTGCGGCGTGGCTCATCATGTACGTGTAAAACGCCGGGTCGGCCGGGTGGGGCCAGGTCATGGCCAGGCGCTGCCGCTTGTCCTTCATCC